TAAATATGAGATAAATATCCTATATCAAAAATGCAAGTTCTATATCTACCTCTGCTAAAATATTAATATTATATGATATGCAGCCATAATACAATAATTATTCTAGACCTATTATATATATCATTCATATTTAAAATGAATAAAAATTTTCAAATTCCCAGAATTTTTCTCGTCATAATTATAGAATAATTCTTCATTCATATTTATATTATATTTATATAGATATTTAATTTCAATCTTATCATACTCTTTTTTCAAGTCGAAAAATTCGATATTTTCATCATCAAGAGATAATTTTCTCCAAATTATCTCAGAAGAATTTTTTTCATCTTATTGTTTTCAAGAAATCCAATTTTTCAATCTCATATATATATATATATAGAAATTTGAATTCATATAGAATATAGAAATCTATCCTTCAAAGAAATCTAGGAATGAGAATTTTCGGAGAAGATATAGATTTATTCTATATATAGTTTATGAGATAATCAAAAACGATTTCTTTCGATCAATCATATATAAATAGAATAAATTTAGAATTGATATCGTATTCTCATATTTAGAGCTACGCATTTCTCTAGTAGCCTATTTGAGGGAAATGAAAGATCAGATTTCATATTCAGCAGGATCTTGGGAAGTTCTAATTCTAGATAATTATTATTTCAAATTCTGGAAATCTAGATTTTATTCTTGGCGTTGCTAATATTTCATGCCATTGGTCAATTCAAAAAAGAGTTAGGCTTATTATTTTGAAGCAAGATGCCTGTCCGCATTTTGCACAGCTCCACGAGACCCGGAGTCGCGGGTTGCCCACGCGGTAGTCTGAGGAACAATGTTTACTTGGCTTGTTCCTCCTTGCAGGCTTTCGGCTGCGTATAGACATCTGGGCAATGCGTCTTTGACAACTTGCCCCTTTCAGATCTAGGATCCATAGCTGCGCAAGAGCTGCAACAGGCAACCAGAAGCCACAGCGACGTGGTCTGGTTTGAGCCTGGGAAAATGCTCCTGGACAACTTATTCATGTGAATGTGGCTGGCACAACTTTCACAACTCTGCAGGTAGAACAGGCTGGCAACTACCGTTGTAATAAAGGTTCTGGCAAAAGCAAGCTAATCTATCATGCTCGGTCGTTGTCCATTTAGGTGAAACGGTCACGAAGAGCTCGGCAACACCGCCACCCGTCCAGCTTCAGACAGACAAGGGTGTCTCTTATGCTTAGGCACCAGTCTGGTAGTCAAAGTGCAAGTCGGCTCTTCTACCTGTTGCTGTTGCGCATGCATTGTTGGCAGAAACTTCCTATGACCATCAAGAAGTGCTTGAACACGTCGTGCCATGCCTTGAAGCGCTGATAGTAGGGCTACAAAGATATAAGATTCTTTCTTCCTGCGTTCTTGCGTCCTGCAAGTGCATGCATGCCATGGCCAATATCTGGTTCCAGAAGTCAGCTTTTGAGCATGTTGGTCTTGGAGCAGATTTGAATGCAATTCCGCTCCGTCTCAAAAACAGTTTTCTACACAATCAAGGTCCTTGGGAAGGTGCCCTTGCATCACCTTGCAGCCCCGGCAGGCGTGGCGCAGAGGACGCCTAGGATATTGGGGTGGCCACTTCACCACAATTCATAACATGCCGTCTGTTCGTCATCGTACTGTCGAAAATTCTTCAAGTTCAGGCTTGGTCCGAAGCAACGATAAGGGCTGTTGAGGCAAGCCACAGCCGCCTCCGTCTCTTCAGAATCCAAGACTCCCTTCAGAAGACCTCATCGCGTGCAGGCAAAGTAGTGCCCACAATTAAAACCACCCCACGAGCAAGAAATAGTAAGTCTATAGCAAAAAAGAACCATAGGATGCTGCAAAAGTCTGTGCAAACTGAGCTGCTTTTCATGTACGGGCTCTGCTGCGCGAGCTTGAGATATGCTTGCTGCTTCCTTGCAATTTCCACGGAAGCTAAAGGGATGCGAGATAAACACGACGTAGGGTAAGTAACCAGCACTCCGTCACCAAATGTGGCACTTCAGTCCCAGAAGGATATGTCGAGGCTCTGCTCCGGATCATCTTTGTAAAGGTCGTTCATCTGCGCTAAGAGCTGCTTGCACTGGTTCCGGGTTGCTTTGCACGGACGATGTCTCCCGCGCCGAGCGTCCTGCTAGACGAGCTAACACACACGCCAACGACTCTGGCACTGCATGATCGAAGCCACCTGGAATTCCCAGCCCAAGTCCTCTCCGTGTTCCAAATGACAAAACCTGCACGCCTCTGCGTGCTTGCAACCAGCCCGCGTCGTGAAGTGTATGCATGGAGTGCACTTGCCGCTTTCCTTGGCACCCCCAGGTCTAGTCTTGGCCTCTCAGAAGCTCCCTCCTGTCTGTACTCCTGACCCTATGACAGGTTCGAATACCGCTGATGTGCATCCAAGGCTTCATGGTTGGCGCTCCCCTGAGACCATCCATACCTTGCAGCAGTAATTAGGAGTCATCGCAGCTTGCACCACTGGATGCTGGAGCTTTCGTGCTAGACTGCAGAACCACCTGCCTTGCAACTCACCTCTGACTGGTCAACGGGTCAGATGTTGAAACGCATTCTTGACTCTTTTGCTAGGATTTGGGGCAACGATAGCAGATCGATAGCGCATACTCTGCTTCCAATCTCTCCAATCAAGTCACACAATCTCAGGAGGTGGACCGTCATCGCCCAGCATCGGGTCTGACTGCGTAAGCTCCTCGCTGGTTGTTTTCCAGCACTGCTTGCGTCTGCTTGCAATATTTTTTGGCAACGGCAGCTAGGAAAAATGCTGCTGAGACTCCCGAATCTTCGCTTGAACCGCAGCCACCTTTTCTGCCCGAATTTGCTCGTCGATGTAGGACTTGCCATGGGCCGTAGAAGCAGCTGGCACCAGGACACAGCTGAAAGCATGACTCAAACAACATCTGGGAACCGCTTGACATTCCAGAACATCTGCAAAGCTAGAAAGCATCTCCAAGAACCGCCTGATTCGGATGTTGTTTCTGAGGAGTCGTGCCAGACCTTACACACGTCAGTAAACAAAGAGCACAGGCATCGATGGCACGTGACGAAGCAGTGCCGCAAAGGTGCAACGTGCTCTGGCCGCAGCTGCGGATGCTGCGGAACGAGAAAGTCCTCCACGCTGGAGGGGTCCACATCGCTGCTGGATGAAGCACTCCAACCTGAAACACTGAAATCTCCTTTCAGCTGCTGTCCTGAATCAGCCTGGGGAGCTGGCTGTTGGATCTCTTTAGCATCTGCTTCTGGTCCAGGTCATCCTGATCCTGCCAGACTGGCGATGAAAAGAGCTACTCAAGCATGGACACATGGGAGGTGCCACAGATCGGCCTGCACCTCTAGAAAAGTGTTTCGAACGAAGATGCGGTGATCACCTTCAGTGAGGCGCAGGGCTCTTACAACCACCATCAGCCGCAGAGTACAGCATTTCGCAGCACTGCTGACATAGCATCTTGCCTTCAAGTGTTTGCAGTGTCTCCATGCCTTGCATCTTTGCAGGTTGTCACAAACAGATCCGGAAGCCAAAGGAAATCCACCGTTCGTAGCCTGCCTCTTCAAACGAGCTCTCTGAATTGCAAACGCGAGGAGGCAGCCTCTGGCAAGAATTAACTGGCACGCAGGTGCACTGTATGACGAAAAAGCGATGCACACAGTCACGTCGACCGCAGCTGCAAATGATTGGCTTGGCATTTGTCAAGACACGCACCGGCCTGGGCGCAAACAATGCCCGCTCCTTTTCGTGGTCGACGTCGGTCAAGCGAACACCAGCAGCTGCGCACGAATCAAAGCTCCGGCAATGTGTAGGACTGCAATATGAGCTGCTGCTTGTTGCATGGTCAGCGGGGCCACGTGACTATGAACGTCACACCGGCTATTGAAAGGCTACACGATACTGTAACTCAATATTTTTCTTCGTGTCTTGGGCCGCGGCGGAAGCATCGACTCTAAGCAACGTCCACAGCTATCCGAGCATCTGACAATGTCAGCTTCATCAAGAACGTCTGAGAGCTTCTTTCAATTCAAAGATGAAGCAGGTCTGTGGAGGAGCACCAAGATGATATAGTGCTGGGCATCACACGGGTGGCCCGACTGCCGGAGTTCTTGCCATAAAATTTAGCAGCCCAGCAATTGAAACATGCTGCGAGTTTTCGCTTTCATTGTCCAAGCAATGATGGCAAGCCCCTGAGCAATAGGTCGGCACCCCTGTGACAGGCCATGAACCTGAGCACTTGAGAAGCTGAATTGTGATCGATAGTAAGGTAGTCGTTGTAGACTCTGCGCTGAGTGCTGCTCACACCCCAAACTGTGAAACTTACTAACATAATCTAACATATAAGCTGGCTCAGGCCAAATTAAAGATGGCACAGCAAGACCTGCGCCAAGCGGTGAGCCATCCTCCACTCTTCGTAACGGGTTTAGGAATTGGGCCGTGGCCATCCCATACAAACTAGCACGGTCTGCTTCGCATCAGGTGCGAATTCCGCACTAGGCCAGGGGTTTCCTGTGGCCACGGCTACCAAAAGAGCCTGCTGCCACAAGCCACGCTGTGCAGCTCCTGCTTGGGTAGCATGGCTGCTGTCGCACAGCAACTCGAGCTTTGGAGAGCCTAAATAAACGGTGAGTCCTGCACTCCGTCTACGTCTCCCTAATATATCTTCGAGGCATGCTGGCGAGAGGGAGTGACCGTCGGCTAGACATCTGTCGGATGGCCAGGCGCTTAAAAGCATATCAAAACCTGTGCAGATTCCGGTGTGCATCTTGTTTTCAAAGAATCTTCCTAAGATGCACCTCGACTCTCTGCCTTGGTTTTTTGACAGAGTCGCATCTTTGCAGCATTAGGAGGTACACATGCCGCGGGCTGCTGGCCATGCTCTGAAGCTACGGCACATGACACGAGCTAGAAAAAACAGATGCTGATCTGCCGTGAGATTCTCCCTTTCTGTGAATGATAGCAACTGGGTTGCTCATCAGAGCCATCTCACCCTGGCAGATCCAGCACTCTGACTCAAATGGCCCACGCGCCCAGCAAGTTTCAGAGGATTCTACATGCTAGTCAGCTAAAGGCACTGCACATTGACAACTGCAAGCTGGACGATATCTGGACCCCAAACGATTACATATTCTGTCACCGTCTCTGCCATCTGTACACGGGACACTCACTGATTCTGGATGGATCCCTACTCAAAGGCAGAAGGCGTCTCGCCTTCATGCTTGATTTGGTTTCAAATCCGACTACGATCCAACGAAAAGTCTGCAGACGTGTGGGCAGGTTCACAGATCATGAGAGTGCAGATTTGCTCGTTTACTTTACCTGCCCCTGCCGCCACAGACCGGAATCAAGCTAACTCTACATCCCCAGCAGGACACTCCTGGTCCTTTCGACTGCAGGGCAAGCTAGTGTTTACGCTGGGAAGGCAGGCCACTACGCTTGCGTAAGAAATCAGCAGCACCTTCACACCACTGCAAGAAAGACTATTCCAACATGACGAACCTGGATGATCGTTCTATTGACCTGTACAAAGCAGGTTGATCGCTCTCGGGGGTGGTTCTGTGCTGCTTCGTAGTGCCTGCTGGCTAAAATGGAGGCCAAGCAAAGATAGCAGGAGCAGTCAAGCATTTACTCCAGTCAGCGAGACTGGTTTGGGATTGCCGGGGTCGCATGCAGCAAAAAGTTTGGCTTTCACATCATCACAATGCTAGATTGCCCCTGTTGGCTTCAAACAGGAACATCGGTGCTACGCGAGGAAGCATGCACTGCGCCATGGGTAATATGTGTAGTGTAGGCTGCAAGCTGCCCGCACTTGAAGACGCGTTGTTGATATCATCAGTGGCCATCTGAACATCTATGATTTGGTTGTCTCCATTAGGTCTAGTTTTCACCTGAGGCCACGTTGCAGCTTCCTCTCATATGCCAAAGGCTGCACTCAGAACAGTGTCCTCCAGTGAGGGGCTTGTACACTTACACAAGACCTACACAATACAGCCAGTGCAAACAAACCTCAAAGGACTGAAAACTTTATGTTTCAGTTGCTTGGCATTAACAACTTGCCTGCACTGAGGCTGGCGCAGTGCCTTCTGCTGCTCGGCGCGACAGGTGCGCGGCTACCTTCAATCGAAGCTGCTACTCCATCTGGCTCTTACAACTCATTCAACGGATCCAAAGCACTATGAAAGGTGCAGCATGCAAACTTCCCAAGAGCCCCGGACGTGCAGAAGTTAGCTTCGGGAGCAAGTATCTCAGCAAACGGTGCGCTGTGGCTCGATTTGGACAGCTGTCCCAACTCACCATGGACTGGCGCGAATGCGCCAGACTATGTAATCCGTATAATGGATGTCTATCTATATATATATATATACTCTAATTATATGATGCAGTAGTTTTCATTGTCTTTTCCATTCTCGCCATCCAACCCCTGTGCACAGACCCCAACCAAGTCTCACACAACTTTGGCAGTGCCCGCAGCTCAATCTTCATAGCCTTGGCATACCCCAGGTTCTTAGTAGGGAATAAGGGAATGCATTATATGGGTCTTATATAGGGATACTATTCCCTAATTCCCGACTAAGAACTAGTAAGTGGAAGCATGAGCGGTGCTATGATAACTTGCGTTGACGTGTTGGAAAATTGTCTCGCTCCAACTTGCGTTTTTCACAGGCGGTGGGCGTCAGTCATACAAAACTAGCCACTTAGGTCTCGAACGGTGTTGGCCAAAACTGTCCGGGAAACAAATGATTTGGGGTCCACTCTACAAGATTATAAATGGCCCAATACACAAACACCCCTGGCTCAAGGGATTTCAGGACGCACGGACTTTGGAGAAGGGGCTTGGCTTTTTTGGCTGGGATATCGGGGCCAAAAATGTTTAGCGTGTTGGGTTTTGATTTATGGCATCCAGGTTTCGGATATCAGATCTGGAGGCTTGGGGGGGTCAGACTTCTTATAACCGGGACTCCGGAGGGTTCAAACCTCCTGGGGCTTTTCGTGTTTGCCGTAGTTTGGAGGGTTACGTGTGTTTGGGTTTACAAGTTTTTGGGCGCAGGGCTTGCAATCCTACGGCAAAGTTTAGTGGCTGCTTTAGGATAAGGGCTTTTGCTACATGCATGTCTGGGGCAGCATAGCAAGGTTCGAAACCGACATGTCAGGAACTAAAAACAAAAGGCCCCCATCACAAGCCATGGTCCATGAATCGGGGTTTAGGGCCAAGGGTTCGTAGTCCAGGGCTTCTTGCCTTAGAGGATTCAGGGCTTAACGGTCCAGGATTTTGGGGTGTATGTAATTGGGGTTCAGGCGCTTGAGGCTTCAGGGGCCATGAAGGATTTTGGAGTTTAGGGATTTCACGGCTCAAATGCTTCAGGATTCACGCATCTAGAAGCTTCAGGACCCAGGGGTCCCAGGGTCGAAAAGCACAACGTACCACCATGCTTACTTACTGCAACAAGCCCAAAATTGGTAGCAATCCAAATCCAATGGTGAAAGCGTTTCAAGGCAGGGGCTGTCTGGAGCAGCCGCCTGGAGGCGAGCTGCCAGCTCGGCGCCTATGCCCGTGGCCAGCTTGCAACACTCAAGCGCAAGAGATTGCATGAGATTGCAAGAGTGCTCTGGGCCTGTGGGCACATGGTTCCCGCCCAGGAGAACGCGAAGGGCTTCAGCTGGCCCAGCGGCAGGACCTCCCCAGCCACAGGATGTCACAAGACGTCACGCCTCTCCACTCCACTGTATGCATTCTCGTGGCTGAGAAGAGCACTCCATGGTCCTCCCATCGCTGTTGGCGAAGCTCCTGCTGCTTCTGATGCACAGGATAGTTCCGCACGTGCTCCAACGCTGAGCTGATTCGCTAGGAGACAGGATCGTGAATCACATTGCCGCGAGGCCATTCAAGCACTCAGTGTGGGAACACCGAGAAGCAGAATCCCGAGTTTGAAAATTGGCCAGTCCTGGGCAGGACATAGCTCCGCCGGTGTTGAACCTTGGCAGCTACTTCCCTCATGGTTTGGCCAGAGTTGGCTCCCTACTCTTCAGGTTGCTGCGGCATCTCCTTTGCCGGCTTGTTGGCCTCTGGCCTGAAAATGACAAACGCCCACGGCATGAACTGCACAGGCTGGAACAAATATGACATGTTGGTATTTGTGCGCAACTCAGGCAAAGACCACGACATGTGGCAAGCCATGGGTGTATTTGCAGGGGCCATAGGAGAGTTTGCTGGAGCCATGGGCGTGTTCGCTGGTGTTCTGCAAGACCTTTTCAAACAAGTGCAAGGACGAACGGTGCTGCGCCATTATCACTGTGCTACACAGCCCAAAACCCGAGCCAGACACGCATCGTAGCATGCCTGAGCTGTGATCACTGTGATAATAAGCAAACCACCCATACAAGGGTTCATGCCTCATGGCATTGAGTATGCCCATAATCTTATGAGGCCCCCAGGCATCTGCCCAGTACAAGTGCTTGGCTGATGGCCGTGGGAGTTGTTGCTGCTAGTGGATTTGCCATTGGAGAGCCTCCCACATGTCACTTCTGTCGCCAGCAGGAACGAAGCTAGGATGCAGATAGCTTGGCCTGTTGGAAGAAACCTGATTGAAGCGTTGCCGAAGTGCACCGTCGGCGAAGCTCCTGCACTGCTGCCACGCCCACGCAGCAGACATCTCGAAGGAGAGCTGATCCCCACAAGTAGGATAGTCAGTCCCAATGCGTTCAACGGGATGCGCAGCCTGATCCTCTCGTGGCAGTTACGGTACGTTACCGCTATGCCTGGACATTGTCGCGTGGATGCATCGCCAAAGTGCACCGGATGCCTAAGAGTGACAGCTTGGATGACCCTTACCGAACTCACCGCTCGCAAAATCAATGCATTGCAAAGCGGCCCGGCAGCTGCAGCAGCTGGAGAGGTGCCTTACATCTGCAGTGATGGACAGCCATTACTTGCGAGGGCTGCGCGAGTTCCTGACCCAGAGCACCCTGTGGAAGGAAGACCTAGGGCAACGCTCATGATCTTTTGCTTCGTTTTGTCAGGGCCAGGTCCCAGGGCTGGCCGTCGGCCGTCGATGGGAGCGGTGCTCATGACGCTGGGAGGCATGCCCTGGCAGAAGCTGCCATAGCCTAGTCTCTTTGCTAATAGAAATGCCTGCCTTTCCGGGTGTTGGCAACCATTGTACCTTTGCCAGACACCGTCTGTTCTGCGTGCCGAGGCGAACTGATTACTGAACTACTGATTTCGGTTTCAATATCCTTCCGTGGCCTCGGGACCAACAGAAACTCGATTGTCTGCTGGCATGTGTTGAGCCTCGGTGAGCAGCACAGAGAAAAACCAGCCCCGCGTTCTACAAGCAGCCAACCACAGAGTGTGAGAGGTTATGGCACAATCTGGCCGCAGGGCACCCATGGTTGGGATCCTCCTTTCTGTTCCCTCCACCCACATCCACACAGACTCTGCAGGCTGCTCTTCTGCGCATCCCGGTCACTATAGCCAGTAGCCAGCAAACCTCCACACTTTTGTGCCTTCCGTATCGTAACGAACCTCAAGCGCCCATGATCCTGGACACGTCCAAATTACAGCTACGCGTACCGCAGCGAATTCTGGGAAGCAGACTTGCATGGCGCCTGCCTGCCAGGTGACAAAATGTGAGGCAGAAAACACAAGCGGTTCACTGTCATTATGCAGGTCGCGCAGGGCACAGTACTCAGACTCAGGACGACATCTCTTGCGGAATCGAAAGCCTTGTCTATGCAGGCAGCGCCTGGTTCCAAGCTGTACAGTGCAGGCCAAGGTCTCCAAGAGTCACCACCTGCTCTGCATGCTTTGCGACATGTTTCATGATTGCGGGAATCAGATCAGCACAAGTGCCAATACAAGCAACCCTACCTTCATGCCGCACACAATTTTTACAGGCAGCTATCCTTGTAGAAAAGGGTCAAACATCTTGGCCCATGGATGGCAATAGGTCTTTTTGGATGGATCTCAGCCGGAGTCTTCAAGAGCTCCAGAACGGCTTCCCAACGAGAATATGCAGATCCTACTCTTCCGGGTCACATGGACCCTAGATTTGAAGAAATCCTGAACCACGGTCGCGTGGCAGCCAGGCCTGGGAGGAGCCATCAGGCCCTACTGGGGATCCTGGATGCACTGGCCTTCGTTGCCGCTGTATCTGGCTCATATCTCTACGTCCTCCATTCACAGACGCACGAAACATCCAAAAAGCAAAACCTACAACACGCAATTAACGTGTAATGCACGAGATCTATACATGATCAAGTTCTAGGCTCCAAGCATCTGCTGGCGGGCATATCCAGCATCTGGAGTCTTCGACCCTCTTTCCACCTTGACGCGCTTGATCGCGCTTGTGTTGCTTTACGAGTTGTGCGAACGCAGAAAGAAAACAACACAGTGCCAGCAGCACCCGTCTGAAAAGTTTTACCCGCTCTTGCCATTGCATGTCGTCAAGCATTGCCAAGGCTAAGCAAGTGGTGACACTTCTTGCTGGAGATGCATGTTAGCTGATGTCATGTCCGGGGCTTGGTTGGAACTCACGCATCACGCAACTCATGGCTTCTTCGAGCACTCCATCAGTGAGAATGCAAGTATTGCAGACATGGACCCTCGAAGGGCCCAGTAGCTTCTGCTAAGCCATTTTCAGGTCGCCCAGAGAGTCGCATGGCCTGCGGCACTGCTCGTTCAACTTACGCCTGCAAATTTCTTGGTTTAATGCACAAGTCAAGAGCTTCCAAATAAGAATGGTGTGCCTGTCAAAGAACGCCGAGTTTGCATCGAAACCCTTGCCTCAGCAACACTACCAAGTCAGGCCTTTCTGAACTGAAGCATCTCATAGGTGCAGCTGTGTCTCGTAGAGACTTTGGGAAATCCATGAGGTTTACCTTCTCCCCTCAGTTGCTACAAGACAGATGCAAGCCATCACACCTTTCTGCATCTCAACCTCCACTGTCCCCCCTTCAATGTCAGACCAGGGGTCAGTATTGGTCAGTCATGCTTTAAAGATTGTGTTCCACTTGTCATTTCCAATTATAGACTTCTCTGCGTTGTCAGTTTGCGAACCCCTTATATTTAGCACTTGCACTCGCACCTTACTACTGCCTATCGCTGCAGTCAGGCAGCCTCGGCTTGTCATTTCAATCCAATGCTTGTGGACCACGCCCAGCACCTCCACGAAGACCTGCACAGGTGCCCAGGCTACATATTTGGAACAAAGCCGAAAGAGGACCCTTGAAACCGGCCTCGTCCAAGACCAATCGACAAATGCTGGCGGACATGTCAACCTTGGATTTGTGGGGAAATGCCAAGCTACAGCAATGGTAGCTGCAAGCGCAGGGTACTAGGCCTTAGCTGCACGACAGGTGGCATCATTGGCGCTGCATTCGCGGACGACCTGGGCAAGTTTCATGAATCGTGCACGGGACGGATGTCTAGGCGCGCCACATACGTACCATTCGTTTCAGCACATGGCTGCACCGCTTCATGAGTGCAGTAGGTGCCCTATCCTGCATCGAAGGCACGAGTCTCGCCAGATTTCTCAGCTGTCGCTTGCTGGCCCGACGGACCGCCCCCACAGGTGAAACCGTCGTGGACGTGTGGAGGTCAAAGAACACACCCTGCAGGAACAGTGCGGAAACGAAAGCGCCTGTGATTTACGGATATCTAGGGTCTGAGTGGCTGGCCAACATATGCGAAATGTTGAAGCAGCTGATCCTGTCGCAAGAGCCATGCGACTTCCGCCCTGCTCCCCTGCATCTGTCCGCAAGGATCTAAGGATCGGGAGCCAAGCAGCGCAAAAAGATAGAATGACGCTGGGCTTGCAGCTTGCTGAACCTGAGACAAGTTGGTCAGATTTCTCAAGCTGATAATGATGCCTACTGCTCTGTGCGGCTGCGACACCATCTCCTGCAGTTCCTCATTTGCACCCGTACTCAAAAAACAATACAGGTGATGCAAATTGCCAAGTAAGGAACAGCATAACAAACAGACAGACATGACACCCGCGGGCGATGTCGAGCAAAGCTTGCCTCATCGGACAGTCAGCTCTGCCAATACCCACACAAACGCAACTAACAGCTCAAAACTATGAGCTTGTGCTTGTTTCAGACATGCTGCTAGCTGTTCCAGTGGCCAGGCACCAGTTCGAACGTCAGTTGCAGGGTCCACACCCTGAAAGCCCAGCTTCTTCCAGTCTGGGCACAAGCAGATGCTGGGCCCTGACACGCTTTGACGTGCAGGTCCGCTCCAGCTTCAGACATGCTCTTATTTTTTTGCTGTGGGAAATTATCTATGGCCGCTAATTTGCATGCTTGACCCACTTGCACCAGGTTTGTGGGGGTGCCTCATGCCTCGGAATTGAGTTTGATTTGAAGTGGGTCTTGTTGACCAGGCAGTCAACAACCCTTCGAATTAATTAGTGCACATCAACTACACTGGGTACTGAGATTGCCTTCAAGCTGTACATCCAGCAGCCCGAGGCCACGGCGAGGTCCCTTCACGAAGGCCTCTGCCTTTTCCTCTGGGAAGGCATTGTTCCAAATCTCCAGCACCTGCTATGGATTACGAAGGAAACGAAAGCAAGTCACAGGGCTCCAACTTGAGTTCTTACTGGGGTTCTGACCTGCTTGTGGAGTTCAGTCTCCTCTGGTTTCGGGCTGTTAACCACCTCGGGCGTGCCAATCTGTAAGCTGCTCATCCCACTGCTGCATGGATGAGGTACATGACCGCGCAGTGTCCCGATATGTCTAGGGTCTGCTGATTGTGCAAGGAAGCCGGACCATGCCGAGGCATAAGGTTCAGAAGCCATTTTAGCTGACCTGTTGAAGGTCCACTGTGATCCCCTTAATGAGCCCTAAAATAATACCCCACATAATCCCCAGTACAAACCCCTTTCAGTTCAGAATAAGCTCAGATAGCATCCGGATAGCAGCCGAAGGTCAGACAGCTCACGACTTGGTTCTGTCAGTCAGGAGTTGCCCTCTTTTGGCTGTTTGTCAACCAATTCTGTTGGCCTGCTGCCTACAAGGCATCCATCAAAGACTCAAATGTGTCCTTCAGCCAGGTGACTTGGCGTCGCATGTGCCACACCTTTGTGTCTGGTCACACACACACACGCACAAAGGGCAGTTTAGTATCTGGTCCTTCTAGATCGACCCTGCCTTGTGGTGCTTACAGTGACAGAAGCGCCCCTTTGAACTGCTGTGGAACTGTCGTGCTTTTTAGACACAATCATACTCAGCACAGGGAAGGAGCTGCTTTACTTCATTTGAATTTGCATAACTGGGCCCGGATGCTGCATCGCGCTCGTGGTCTGTCAGTGCCGCTGTGTATCGAGGGCCCACGCAAAAAGCGCAGCGATCGCAGAACGACTTCTGATCCTAGCGACTTTCAGGATGCTGTATGCCCTTGGACGTACACCTACAGGCAAGCGCGCCTCGATGTGCGGCTGCTCGTTGGTCCTGCCCTCTTCCTTATGGATTGCCACGTTACGGGCTTGCGAAACATGGTTTAGTGGTCATTAGTACATGGACGAGGTCGAGGCACCATGAGACGCTCTGCCTCCATGGTTTGGCGAGGTCCAATGGCTACCAACGGCTACGAGTCAGTGAGCTGCACAGCTGCCAGATTCGACACAAGTTCTGCAAAAGATTGTCAAGCACATGACCACCACGTCCTTCAATCAGCACAACTTCGTAAGGCCCGCACACGCAAGGTGCTGTCTCGAACTTTCTTTTGTGGCTTCTGCTTCTTTACCACGTTGCTCTTGGTTTCATTGGCTTCGGCCTCATGAACCACATGTACGTGCTCGACTGTTCCCATGCGGAGTATGACTTGATGCCGGTACCTTGGTGGAGTTCGGCTCCAAATGGCTCGGCAGCCAGTCATTGTCGGCGGCGAGAGTCTGCAAATGCAAGACTGTTGTTCAAGGCAAGCTGCGGCTTTACCTGCTCCAATTCGCACTGGCTCCCAAGTCTTGTTTTGCACGACAAGCTCCTAGCATGCTCCTTCAGCAGTTGCTCACCCAAGAGAAAGCTTGCTGCTGCGCCACCACGTTCAGGATGCTTGGCGCGAGTGCCGCAGGTCTCATTGGCTCTCATTCTGGAGGATACGCTGTGCCGCTGTGTCACCAATCTGCTCCCTGTCGCCGGCAGCTGAGTCTCCTACTAGATATGCTGCATGTTTTGCTTGCCTCAAACAAGCAGGCGTATCACGAGCCAAGCTATCAAGTACTATCAAGGTCACACCAAGAATGCTGCACCAGACGTCGTGGTCGGAGTGGTGAAATTCCCGCGTGCCATGTCGATGATTTGCTGCTCCATGTTGGTAACCAAAATGCTCAGCCTCCTCTCCTGGTTTGGACACGACAGTAGTTGTCCATGACAGTTGAACGCGCAATCCAGTATTTAAGAAGGACTGACACGCAACATGCTAAGAGACCGCTGTCATGCTGAAGCAACTCATTATTCAATGTCCTCCTCCCTCAGCTTGTGAACTTGTGACTCTTCCTGGACAGCGAAAACGCCTAGGACGACCATGAAGAAGAGAACAGCCGCGACAAGCCATATCCGGAAACCTCGTGTCAAGACACTGCCTCCTCGACTGAACTGCAGCTTAAACACACAGCACGGCTTTTGCCTCTGAGAACGCTGCGTCGCTCCTGCGCCTCCATTTGCGATTTAAGAAGCTTACAGTGCTCACGCCATTCCATGGCCGAAACCTGCCAACAAAATAGCACATTGGCCCATGCTCGCCCGCACCAACAAAAGTGACAAAGGAAGAGCCTGCATGTTCTCAGTGTCCCTGGACAGCGCGCTCGCAACAGACGCACGATGGTGCACCTCACAACTTGCAGACTCTTTTGCGATGACTGGTCTCTTTGTAGCAGTGCAGCACCTAACTCCTAACTCGAAATTCTCACCGGACGAGCTGCCTGACGCGTCGCTTCCATTCGACTTTCATTGCTTTGCTGTGACGCTCTTGGACCGTCCTGCGCCCACAGGGAGGGAAACAAACAAATCGCGACTGACCACAAATGCTTGTCTAGCATGAGGTGCTCCCACTTCAGCTTCCTCTGCACAACGGAGCAGCGTCAGGGATTACACAAACATTGGCCATGTCAAAACATCAGTGAGATCCTGCATTGTAGGAAATGGTGCTAGCGCTCTCAGCCGCTATACCAGCTGGACCATGGCCAGAATATGGGCAAAATGTGATGCAGACAGCGAAAGCTGAAAGCACTGCGACGTCTCAGACACAACTAGTTGACCAAAGTCTTGCAGCATCATTGTAACATCTGTTTCTGCTTGGGCAATGCACGGCTCAGCAGTCAGCGTCAGTCGACGCAACAAGACTGATTGCGGATTGGATGAAGGACATGTGTCACATCGCCGCTGCTGCTTCACAAGCCTCGTCGTCGTGTATGTCACACCATGCCCTCAGGTGAGGAGTTTTTCCAAAATGTGTTAAGCAGCTCTGTTGTGCAGATCCGGCACAACCTACATCATCGGCTTGAATCCCCGGTGAACAAGCGCGACATCTGCGACCTGATTTACTTCTGAGATGCCAACACTGATCCTCGTTTTCCCACGGGAAGCGTGAGCCTCACAAGCTCATTCCATGCCATCATGAGATTGAAAGCTGTACCTGTTTGTCTGCTGCATGCATCACAACCCTCAACATGGTCTCAGAGGCCCTGGCTTCGTACTGGACTTTGTTTCGTTGGACGATGCCTTCATGAACGAGGTCCCGGCTTTATCCAACATTCGGGCCCCCCCATGTGACATGCCTAAGGTGGACTTGCAAGATTGAGATACTGAGGTGACCAACCTCTGGCTCGGCCTGCCGCGGCCTAGGTTCGAAAGTGCGCCACAACTCTGCTACTGAGCACTGGTGCCTTGGGGCATGACGTCGCAGTGCCCTGGTCAGAGAGAGCCTCAAAAACAGCCGTCTGGAGATGTGGTGCATTCGTTGCATTCTCTTGTTGACTATGTCTGCCTAAATGACACAAGCGCCACACATCCAGTGTCTGTGACAATTGGCCATGTTCTTCGACCTGGCAACTGCTAGGGCAATCAGCCGTCTTAGCCTCATGCGCTTCTGCCTGCGACCCCGTGGATGCGCATGACATGGCTGAAGGTGTGCAGCTTTCCGGCCTGTGCGCCAATGATTTGTGTGAAAAAATAGCACGGCACCACGGGATGCTCAACAATTTCTGAAGCTATGGTCCCTGCAACTTACCTCCAAACCGCTTGCGATCAGGACCTCACTGGAATGGGCACGCACAACCTGGACGATACCCCGCGAAGACTCTGAGCATCACACCAGCCATCAGCAAAGCGTCGGCTTGACCTCGGCTCGCGTTTTTACCCGCTACGCTCCGCATGTCGCAGCGGACAAGGTCCGAACCAAAAGTTTCGGTTTGGTTGCCGTTGCTGCTGGATTCGCTGCAGGAGGAACGTGGCTGAGCCGAGAAGCCAAGCCAATCAAAGCCATGTCTGCACTTGCTTTACCACAAATAAACGCCGACTACCGCCCAACAAGCTTTTGTGCATTTTCTGGTTCATTGAAATAACGACTTTTGATCACTTGCCAATTCCCCTTTGCCTGTGCCATCAGCCGTGCTATAACTGATCCTATTTGGATTTCCTGAAACCCCTTCAAGGAATGGGGGCCAACGACGTAACAACATCTGGCCCGCTGCAGTTTCATGAGCCCTGCCCACGGATAAAATCAGTTCTAAGCCCCCGTTTAGGCTAGCTTTAATGGTCACAGTTTTAGGGATAAAGTGTTGGGGTGCCAAAGGGAACGTAACAAACAGTTTGAATGTGGAAGACTGGGGCCATAATATCTCTTATGTGAACCATGTTTAGTAAGTCCCTTGACCGCCCACGCAGAGAATAAAGCGCAGTTTTGGGGAGCACGTGTCAAAGTTCAGGACATTTGCGGTTCGGGTCTTTAATTCAGAAACGGAAAATTTCAACGATACTTTTCTTTATATGAACGGTTGGAAGATACAGGTGTTTCGTACCTTTTCGAATATTTTGGGGTTCCAAATTCGCTTTTACCACTTACTAAGCCTGTGTGAGCACGTGTTGGATGGGTTCATGGGTTCTGGCGGCGCCGGGCTCAGGGACCCTCTTTTTTGAATAACCCTGAAGCCGATAAGCCCCTCAGCCCCGTGCATCTAATCTGCATGGTACGCCCCTGAGCCCCTAACCGGGAGGGCTCTCCAGCGCGCACTC